TAGTATTTTGTCAACTTGCCTGTTTCAACATGTTTCTGTAAAAAAAAATATATCTTTTGTTCTACTTTAATTTAATTAGTGTATTTTTACATAACTATGAAATCCTTTTAAGTTATGACTTTTAAAATTGATGTGTCTCATTCAACATATTTCAAAAATTTAAAATATATTTCTTTTGTTCTACTTTAATTTTAACTAGTGTATAATTTTTTTGAAAGTATGGATCCTTTCTAACTGAGACTTGTAGTTTTAACTTCAAGATTTCACGTTGAAACATGCACGCCTTCGTCTACGTGTCTGCTTCATCGTGTTTCATTTTTTTTTTAAAAAAATGACTCCTTCCGTTTCAAAAAGGATTGCCTAGTTTGATTTGGAACGGAGTACAAGAAAAGAAAGAAGATTTTCTAATCTTGTGGTTGTAAATTAAAGTAATGTCAAATGTACCAAAATATCCTTTAATCTTGTGGTCTTAAACATGCTGCGTGGAAAGCTAAAGTTAAATTGTTGTCAAAAAAAAAGAGAAAGAGACATTCTTTTTTGAAACAAACTAAAAAGAAAATAGGGATATTCACCTTTTTTCTACAATAATTTAATTAGTGTATAATTTTTTTAAAATTATAAAATCTGATTTGGTTATAACTTTTAGTTTTAAATTATATTATTTTGTTATTGGTTTATTATTTTGAATGTCTACTTTAATTATAGACATATTGATGGACTTCTTCACAATAAATTTATACAAATAAAAAGTAAGTAACTACTTATATATTTAAAAATCATATTAAATTTATTCAACTTTCTAAATTCTACATATATTACATCAATTAAAATTAAAAAATATTAAATTCGTACTAGCATAGAAATCTATGTATAAAATTAATACTACTTCATATATATAAAGTATTCCAAACTACAACCAAACCTAACTAACCGTTGTAAAACTAGACAACCAATTATTACTAATTTCATATACTAATCTATGATATTCATAACCCTCTAACCTAATTAATGTTATGTGATCCAAAGACAAGAGTATTTGCTGATTACAGTTATAATTCGTATTCCCTCAGTTCATTTAAGTATATTTGTTGAAAATATTGATTGAAATGAGTATATTATTATATTAACGTTTAATAAAAAGATCTTATTATATTTAATGTAACAAGTAAAAATGAAATTTTTAACATCTGTGTAAATATAAAAGCAAGTGGATTATATTGTGTGGAATACCGAGCTAGCTTAGAACAATAAATAATGCAGTGATTTTACATGTTAAAATCTGGGGTTGACCCTAAAAGGACAGCCAGTAGATGACTAATAAAACAAAGAAACAAACAAACAAACAAATACAGTGTTGAAACTCACTGCCAATTTATTTAACTTTTACAGTATATAGTCTGCTCTGCATATTTACCTGGAAAGACCATTACATTCTGTATCCTTTCAGATATCCTACACCCTTCCTATGTCCAATTTTTTGGTTTCTCCGATTCAATGATCGGTACTCATATTGAAGAAAGTTCGATTAAATATGAATTTACGTAAAAAAAAAAGTGAATTGTACTAACAAAGGTAATTTTATACTCAAGAAGGAACTCAAACTCGAGATCTCCTAATTAAAAGATGAAGAGTATTTATCACTCTAACACGACCATTGTCATCCCATTTCATACATCCTTTCTTTCATTTTGTTCTTTTCTTCTTCCCGCTGCTCTTTGACCTACCTATTAATAAACATTTGTCATTTCTACACTTTCTTGACTCTTTCCATATATAGACATTTTCACTCTCACATTATTATTGTAAATGTTTGTGTAGTGAAAAGAGTAATAGAAACTAAAATATTGGTAAAAGATAACTTGAATAAATTAACATCACATCAAAATTTAAACCAAAGTATTATATTTTATGTGACTTTTGTTTTTTGGTTTATTATTTAAACTATATGCGCAAATTTTAATCAACTTCTTAAAATATTTTTTTGATCATATGAGAAATTATATCTTATAAAGTAGTTTTAAGGATGGTTTGATAAAATGTATAAAATAATATAAAATAGTGTGTATTAGTTATGTTGAATGAACTTGAACCAAGGATCTTTCGGAAATTGCCTCTCTACCTTTCAAGATAGTAACAAAGTCTATGTACAATCGCCAAACCGATTTAGTAAAATTACACTGAATATATTATTATTGTTATTTTAATGTTGGATTAGTTATTCTCAAATTATTTAGGTTAGCGTTATTCTTTATCACCTGTTTAATACATTCCTCATCAACTGTTTAATATGTTGTATGGTAAAAATAGGGTGTAACGTAATAGAAATGCAATTGAATAGTCGGTAATAAAAATAGTGTTGGTATTTGCCAATGTCATAGTTCACTATATTGAAGGAGAAAAAATATTGTATAGGGTATTAGTTACTCCATTTGTTCACTTTTATTTGTCATATTATGCTCTTTGAAAGTTAATTTGATTAATTTTCAAAAATAAATCAAATCATATTAATTCGATATTTTAAACAAAAAATTTACATATTAAAAAACTATATGAAAAGAGTACTATAAATTATAATGTTAAAATAATATATCTTAAAATGTTAATAAAACATATTATATTTTTACTTTAAAATAAAAATCATGACAAAAAATAACGAACAAAGAGATTACATATATTGATAGAGTGAAATTTTTATTCTCCATAAGCTAAATTAAAACCAAAAGGGGTACTCTAACACAAACAATTAAAATGTACAAAGAAATTACAATTATCGCCAACCCAAAGGCCAAAACCCAATCTTCCTTTCTCTTATTGTCACACAACCATACATCATCCCTAACATCAATCCATGCTTCTTCTCTGTCTTGTAATTATTATTTTTTTCCAATAACAAGCTAAGACAGACAAAGAAAAACTAGAAAGTTTTTCCTTGGCTTAGGAGAAAAGATTGTACTTTCCAATAAATCATTGATATGTCGTATTGTGCTGACAATAGTATAATATTCCATGTGGAATTTTTTTTTTTGGGGTCTAATAAAACAATAAGAAGTATTTGCTAAAGTATACGAGCGTATTTGAATTGATTTAAAATAATTTAAAAAGTATTTGTCAAATAAAAAAAGACGTGTGAAATCTAAAATGACGACGAAAAGTGAATAGAAATGAAGTGAGTATTAGCAAAGAAAATGAAACCATGCTCGATATCCTCGGGAAAGAAAACCCATAAAGAAGAGATTCTTTAATGAAAAAGGATTTGTTCCTTTGATTTTACAAAGATAAGTTGATGAAAGAGGATAACCAATAAAAAAAAAAGATCATCCATCAATACTAGCTACTTTCTCATGGCCTAGTTTTAATTGTTTGATATTAATTTTGACATATTTTTAAAATAGAACATAAAAGGAGATGGATATACCTCTAAGCATTCAAATATTATTTAGTGGTATCCTTTGTTATATTTTTGTTTTTAATTGTGATATGTTATATTCAAATATTATTTTACGGTATTCTTTAGTTCTTTGAGTTTTAAATTCAATATTCGTTACTTGTTTTGAATTTGTATTGTGTAAGACTTATTCGAAGAAAGTGTTCCTTGGTAAAAAAAAAAATTAAAATTCAAGCTAAAACTTTTTGATTAAGCAAGGAACAACTCTAAATACATAGGTATCTATTTTGAATTAAACTTGATTTGAATTGACATATTCATAATAGCTTATCTTCCATGAGCTCTCAATGAAGTGATAGGGTTGAAATAAGTTTGGGGTGTTTATTTGAATGTATTCGTATGATTTTCTTTTAAATTTTAGTTTTCTTGGATAAATTATTTTTTAATTTTATAAACTGAACCAATAAAGGTGAACATATTTTTCTAGTATATTGAATGTGCAAAGTAAAAAAATTTAAAATTTATTATTATAACATAAATAACTTTTAATTATTATTAAATTCAATATCAATATATACTTAAAGGATATTTAAATGACCACTAAATAATTTATTAGTACACTTTTAATAGTTATAATATTTTTTAAGAGGAAAGGGTCTAAAATCCCTCCCATCTATATTTGAAATATCAAATACACAATTTTATTTTACGGATGTTCTATTACTTCTGAACATCATATTCTCTTATTTCTACACACTTAATTGTTGATCTCAACACATTTATCAAACAAATATTTTAACATGATTGCACGCTTCGGCTCCCCCACTTCTTAAACTTTTAATTCCTGCCCACCCCACCCACACACACATTCTCCTCCTAAAACATTAAAGACCCAAATATATATATATATATATATATTCGCCTTTTCATCTCCTTCGACATTTGCATATATATTTCTATTGATGATTGAAAGATTTTGTTGTGTTTCAATTTGATACCGTAGTTTACAATTAATTTAGTAAAAGGTTAGTTTTTTACCTTATTTCGAGTTTTTGCTTTATCCTTTACGGTTTCTGTAGATTCGTGAAATTAAGAGCGACATTGCGTCTGATTGATCTTTACAAAGCTTATTCAAGTTTTATTACATTTTTGATTAATTTCATGAAAGTTCAAACTAGAGATCTGAATAAAAAATTAGAGCAGATTACAAACCCATTCAAAATTTAAAGTAGAAATTAACATAAACAATTAAATCCTACTCTCTTTTTTTGAGAAAATTGTGATTTTTTTTTATAAAAGGAACAAGGGCTAATGGTGGAGACGAAGAAACATTAGTTTATTTAATGGTGGAGAAGATATTCGTCGGAGAAAGAAAATTTTCGTCAAAATTTAAGATGTTCTCACCTTCTAACGCGCTTAGAGGAGGTGTTCTCACCTACTATGACATATTAGCGTTTTAAGTATGTAAAAAATAGAGAAATAAGGATAATAGAATACTAAAAATTTTGGATACAAAATAGAAAAATTTTAGACCATTGTCTATATTTTTAAACAGGAAAGTATTAGTAGTAACAAACATTATTATTGATGTTTATAGAAACTAATAAATAACGAGTGAGAAGAATTTCACCAATACATTTAAACTAAATTGACAACAAAACTATCGATTTAACTTTAACAAAGCATCAAAACATATTGAAATTTGAACTAGTTTTTTTTATAGGAAATAAGCTTAAAAAGAAAAGCTAAGCTAGAACTACACAGGTATTTGAGTATGAGGAGTTAAAAGGAAGGGCCTGGCTCTTCCCCCAAGATAGAGTGAGTTGATACACGCAAACCCATTGGGTGGTAGCAAGCTGTTTTCTTCTCATCCATCATCAATCGCTTCTTTTTCACACTGATGCAAATCTTTTCTCTTCTCTTGGGGGGTTTTGATCTTTTAATTACTTACCAGCCAACATGCGCACACAAGTAAACGTTGAAGAATCATCATTACCCACATTGTAATTTTCACCATTACTATTACTACTGCTGCTGCCGCCGTTTCTTCCTGCTGCCGCCGTTTCTTCATTCTCATCATTACTGTTGGAAGAGGAAGAGTTTATTATGCCACCTCCAACTATAGGATTAGGCTCTGTTAAGTATTTACCATCACGAGGTGGTGAGAAAATCACTGGCATGTATTCTTCAGCTTCACATGGGAATTTCGAGTTTTTGAAATGATCTTTCAATGCTTCGATTCCCTAATCCAAACACATAATTACTACTTTCAGGTCTCAACAAAAATAGATCATTTTTATCCTTATTAATTGTTATCAAATTTATTTATAATTAAAACAAGTAAATATTAATCAATCACTAATTTGAAAGGATAAAATTTAAAATTAGTCTTGAAAACTGAACAAAAATTAAACTAATATGAATGGGAGAGAGTAGTAAACCAAATTCATGTTCATAACTTATGCAAGTATTTTCGTTGTTCATTTTTATTTATCCACTACATATTAAAAATATAAAATATTCATTTTTATTGTCTAGTTGAAAAAGAAACAGACAATTTAATTACTTAATTCTTAATTTATCATCATTACTATGTCAAGTTAACAAGTACTAAATAATAAAAATGAACGGAGACTAATTTTTGATTATTTGGAGAGATAATTGAAAAAAAATGTTCACTGTCAATTTTTCAAACTTGACACTCATCTTCCGAGAAAATTTCAGAAGATGAGGCAAATGCTATTTTGAAAAAAGAAAAAAAATAATTATTGCATAAGAAAATGAATCTTTGAGGGGAAGGAACCTACCTGCAATCTAGCATAAGTAACTTGGCATATTTTTCTGGAGTTGAAAACTTCCCAATTTTGAAGATGAAAAGCCTTGTACAGTCTCAACGTTGCTTGCGGTGAAGTCATGTTCACAAATCCATATCCCACATTGCACTTGTTACTAACAAAAATCCATAAATCATCAATTAGAAGCAAAAAAAAGAATACTCAGTGAAATAAATAAAAATGGAATGTTTTAGAAGATTACATGAAATCGATAGGAAGATAAACAAAATCATAAGAGGATTTTGGCTGATCATCGCCGTCGGCAATCTGCTCGTTACAGTGAATGCAGTGGTTGTCCAGCATGTTCAGCAGCAGCTTCTGACTGCACACCAGACCCCAAATATATGTCAGTCAAATTATACCAAATACTATTTTTTTTTCTTTAAAATGTTTGATCTAAAACCAAAATCATCTCATGTAACTAGCAGACCAAAGGAAACATGATAAATTGCCAGTATTTTCAGAATTTATGTAACATAAAGTGATGAAAACAAACGGAATCAGAATAATATGTGCTTTTATACATGTATATAAAGAGGGCAACAAAATGAAGACGAATTTAACCTGTACTTGTTTGGTATGTTTTTGATCATGACAGTAGTTCTGGAATCTCTGCAATTTGATTCCATAATGGCATCTTCTTTAATTAGAAAACGAGGGTCATAATCTTTTGCCTGCTTTGATGACCAGCCCATCTTCCATGGCCTGCTGCTGCTGCTATTTGCTTGTTGTTGGAACAGTTTTTGTGGACGTTTTGGAGAACAACTTGTAACACTGCTACTACTTGCACTAATGCTGTGGTGATTGCTTTTTCTGGCATTCTTGTTCTTCCCAATCCTAACATTACTATTATTTGATACACACAAAGAAGCGAATGATTCTTGAACTGAACCACCAGTCCCTGAACTCTCACTTCCGCTACATCCACTAGGGTTTCCTTTAACATAATTTGATTTCTGATTTTGGGATGGTGAAGTGTTGTATACCGGCGCTATTCTTGGTGGAGAGTAATTATTGTTGAATTTGGTAGGGGAAGAATACTGAAAACCTTTGGAGAAGCGTCTGCTGTTATTTCCACCTGGCCTGCTGAATTCAATCAGCAATGGCTGCCCATTTAAATCATAACCATTCATCTCCATCAACGCCCTTGATGCATCTCTAACGTCGTAAAACTCCACAAATCTTTGATGCTTCTTCATTGGTGTCTCTCTCAATTCCTTCACATGCCCTATTCGAACCCCAAAAAAAAAATTACACGAATCGAACAAATCAACCAGAATCACAAAACATATAAAGGAATAAGAAACATACCAAAAGCTTGAAATAAATGAAAAAGAGAATCAGCAGAAGTCTGAGGAGACAAATTGAAAATCACAAGTGTGCCTTGATTATTCCCATCAACAAGAGCGGAAGTGACCGGAAAAGTAAACTGAGCCCAAACAGCTTTACCAGCAATGAGTCCACGCGCCGTCGGCGGTGGAACTGGTGGAATAGAATTTTGATTTTCAATGAACTCATAATAATGCCTCCTTAAACGCATCTGTTGCTGCATGTGCTGCTGTTGAATCTCCATTAACGCCGTCTGGGCGTTCCTTAAATCATAGAAATGAACCGTTACAATCCCTTCTCTTACCCTTCCCATTTGCACAGCCCTTACATCCCCAAATACTTCTAACTCCCTTCGAATAATCGATTCACTCACATCAACCGGAACCATACATAACAATAAAGTTCTTGTAGACATTGAACTTGGTGGTGGTAAAATAGGCGTAGGTACCGGTGGGTTAGCGCTAAGATACGCCGGCCGGAGTAACGGCACTGGTGCAACGTCAGCGTACGGCGGCGGTGGATGAGGAGGAGGAGGACATGAAAAAGGGTAGTAAAATTGATTGGGAAAAACAGGCAAAAAATTATTGTTAAATGGATAGGTTGGTGTAAATTCTTGAGCTCTAGGATCAAGATTTCCATGAATGATACCATTGTTCTCCATTCTACTAGAGATTGGTTTTTTCTCTAGTTGCAAATGAGGAAGAAGATAAATACTGTGTTGTTTTTTGTTTTGTTTCTCTCTCTAGAGTAGTCTATGAGCAGAGTCTATAGAGTGGAGTGTTGTCCATGTACATACAATACAATACACAGAGAGTGAGAGAGAGGAGAAAATAAATTGAAGAATGTTAAAAGGGAACAAAATGAGACTAGTAGTGCACGACAATCTTCTCAACTAAATTTGCAAACAAGTGTCTTGGGAGTCACAATTATATTTACCCAAAATGCCCCCATTATCATTTTTCTATTTCTTTTTTCAAATAGTGAATTTGTGAAGTATTATATAGTCGAAAAATATTTGTTATTAATTTTATCTTTTAGAATATATGATAAAAAGGAATAAATATGTAAAAAGTTAATTTTAGAATTTAATTAATTCAAATAACGAAAAAAGCTTCAAAAATTGAGTTAATAGGAAAATAAAAAGAATTTGTAGTACTTCAACTACGATCACTTCATTTAGAGTATTAAATTAATATTATTTCTAATGAAAATGTCAATGTAATGTAAAAACTGACAGCATTTTTTTTCCAAGATACTTCATAGTAGTTTTCATTTATTTTTTCTTTAATGCCCTTTAAGAAACTTGAAATAATATCTGTATTTTTACTGAATTTTTTTTATTTATGTTTTTAGATATATTTTATAAAATAAAATTGAAAGGGTAAGATGGAAAAATTAAAGTAGTTTTACCTCGATTTTGTAAATTGACTACTATTTTGTAATAATCATATAAGTGCTAATAATGTCAAGTTAATTTATTTATTAATATTTTTTATTTTAAAATAAGTGATATTTTATTTTATTTTTTTGACTAAAATAAAAAAAAATTGTCTATATAATCAAGAATACAGTGATGATGTTCTTTTAATTTTATCATTATTTAAATAAATAATATCAGCTACGTGTATTTATTTTGTAAATTGACAACTAATTTAGAATAATTATAGGAGTACTAATTAGTGTCACATTATTAATTATTACTATTTCCATCGTTTCAACAAAAGTGGTGTTTTACTTCTTCTTTTTTAACATAGAATTTGTTTTGCATAATCAAAAACATGTTAATAATGTTCTTCAATTTTATCGTTTTTTGGAATTTCTTTTAAAAAGAGTTACATGCATTTATTTTGTACATTGATAATTTTAAAAAATTGTAAGAGTACGAATTAGTGTCACGTTATTAATTCTTTTTTTTTCTCTATTTCAAAATAAGTGATGTTTTATTTCTTACTTTTTGTTTGCTATAAAATAAATTTTGTTTTGCATAATAATCAAGAACACATTAAAGTGTTCTTGCAATTTTGTCGTTATTTAAATAATAAAAAAAAGTTACATATATTTATTAAAAGTAAATTTCAAAAAATGCATCTCGCCTTTTAGGAATATTTAATTTTCTTAAGAGGTGTACACAAACTAAAAACACCACTTATTTTAAAATAAATAGTTATTGTGCTATATTTTAAAATTCTTACTAGTTTCACAGCACGTGCAAAAGTCGTGTGTATCGTTTTTATAGCATACAATATTGTAAAATAGTCGTTATTCAAATTTTTTTTTAAAAAAAGAAAAGGAGCTCTATATATTTATTTTATAAATTAGCAACTAATTTGAAATAATCATAGGAGTACAAATTAGTATCACATTATTAATTACTACTATTTTCTTCCTTCAAAATAAGTGGTGTTTTACTTTTTTTTTAAAAAAAATAATATTTGTTTTACATAATTAAGAACACGTTAATAATGTTCTTTAATTTATATCAATTTATTTTATGCATTGATAATTAAGTTGGAATAATCGTAGGAGTATCAATTAGTGTCACGTTATTAGTTATTGCTTTTTTTCATTTCAAAGTAAGTGATGTTCTAATTTTTCTTTTTTGTTTTAAATAAAATTTGTTTTATAAAATTAAGAACGCGTTAATGATGTTCTTCCTATTTCGTCGAGTTTTGTGTTTTTTTTAAAAAAAAAAGAGAAGAAGCGATATATGTATTTATTTTGTGCATTGACAACTAACTTGTAATAATAGTAGGAGTACTAATTAGTGTTATGTTATTAATTTTGTTTTTTTTCATTTAGATAAGTTGTGTTTTAACTTTTTTATTTTTGTTTGTTATAAAATAAATTTTATTATACAGAATCAAGAACACGTTAATAATGTTCTTTCAATTTTATCGTTATTTAAATAACAAAAAAAAATTAATTGTATTTATTAAAAATAAATCAGAAAAAATGAATTTCACATTTTTTAAATGCCTAATTTCCTTATGAAGCGTGAGTAACTTAAAAATACCTTTTTATTTTAAAATGAAGAGTTTTTATGCTATTTTTTATTATTATTACTAGTTTTACGATACGTGCGTTTCACGTGAGTATCGTATAAGTAATATACGATGCAGTAAAATAATCATTGTTTGATTTATTTATATTTTTAAAAACCACATACATTTATTTTGTAAATTGACTACTGATTTGGAATAATCATAAGAGTACTAATAAATTGAAGAATGTTAAAAAGGAACAAATGAGACTAGTAATGCACGACAATCTACTCAACTAAATTTGCAACAAATGTCTAGGAAGTCTCAATTATATTTACCCAAAATGCCCCCATTATCATTTTTCTAAATTAATAGTATTTATTTTTTTTTAAGTACTAAATAATAGTAGTGAATTTGTGAAGCATTATATAATCAAAAAATATTTAAAGAAATAATTAAACTATATTTTTTATTGTTAATAAATAGTGTAATTTTATCTTCTATAATATAAGATAAAAAGGGATAAATATTTAAAAAATTAAATATAAATTTTAAAGTTTAAATAATTTAATTAATTCAAATAATGAAAAAAGCTTCAAAAATTGAGTTAATAGGAAATAAAAAGAATTTGTAGTACTTTAATTACGATCACTTCATTTAGAGTATTAAATTAATATTATTTCTAGTGAAAATGTCAATGTAATGTAAAAAGTGACAGCATTTTTTTTTCCAAGATACTCCCTGAGCTTCATAGTAGTTTTCATTTATTTTTTCTTTAATGCCCTTTAAGAAACTTGAAATAATGTATATTTTTACTGATTTTTTTTATTTTATGTTTTTAGATATATTTTATAAAATAAAATTGAAAGGCAGGATGGAAAAATTAAAGTATTTTTACCTCGATTATGTAAATTGACTACTATTTTGTAATAATCATATAAGTAAGTGCTACTTAATGTCAGGTTATTAGTTAGTAATATTTCTTTCATTTTAAAATAAGTGATGTTTTAGTGATATATTATTTTTAATTTTTTTTATTTAAAATAAAAAAATTTGTCTTATATAATTAAAAATATGTTGATGATGTTCTTCCAATTTTATCGTTATTTAAATAAATAATAAGAGTGATATGTATTTATTTTATAAATTGACAATTAATTTAGAATAATCACAGGAGTACTTGTCACATTATTAATTATAACTATTTCCATCGTTTCAACATAAGTGGTGTTTTGCTTTCTTTTTTTTTTTACATAAAATTTGTTTTGCATAATCAAAACATGTTAATAATATTCTCCAATTTTATCGTTTTTTGGAATTTCTTTTAAAAAGAGTTTACATGCATTTATTTTGTACATTGTTAATAATTTGACAAAATTGTAGGAGTACGAATTAGTGTCACATTATTAGTTCCTATTTTTTTTTTATCTATTTCAAAATTAGTAATTTTTTATTTCTTACTTTTTGTTTGCTATAAAATAAATTTTGTTTTGCATAATAGTCAAGAACACATTAAAATGTTCTTGCAATTTTGTCGTTATTTAAATAATAATAAAAAGTTACATATATTTATTAAAAGTAAATTTTAAAAAATGCATCTCATTTTAGGAAACTTAATTTCCTTAAGAGGTGTACACAAAATAAAAACACCACTTATTTTAAAATGAATAGTTATTGTGCTATATTTTTAAAATTCATACTAGTTTTAGAGCACGTGCATCAGTCGTGTGTATCATTTTTATAGCATACAATATTGTAAAATAATTGTTTTTCAAATTTTAAAAAAAAGAGTTCCATATATTTATTTTATAAATTAGCAACTTATTTGAAATAACTCAGGAGTACAAATTAGTGTCACATTATTAATTACTACTATTTCCTTCATTCAAAATAAGTGGTTTTTACTTTTTTTTAAAGAAAATAATAATATTTGTTTTACATAATCAAGAACACGTTAATAATGTTCTTTAATTTGTATCAATTTATTTTATGCATTGACAATTAAGTTGGAATAATCGTAGGAGTATCAATTAGTGTCACGTTATTAGTTATTACTTTTTTTTCATTTCAAAGTAAGTGGTGTTTTAATTTTTCTTTTTTGTTTTAAATAAAATTTGTTTTACAAAACTAAGAACACGTTAATGATGTTCTTCCTATTTCATCGTGTTTTGAGTTTTTTTTTTAAAAAAAGAAGAAGAAGAAGAAATATATATATCTATTTTGTACATTGACAACTAACTTGTAATAATAGTAGGAGTACTAATTAGTGTTATGTTATTAATTTTTTTTTCATTTAGATAAGTGGTGTTTTAATTTTTTAATTTTTGTTTGTTATAAAATATATTTTGTTAGACATAATCAAGAACATGTTAATAATATTCTTCCAATTTTATGGTTATTTAAATAACAAAAAAATAATAATTGCATTTATTAAAAATAAATTAGAAAAAATGAATCTCACTTTTTTCAAATGCCTAATTTTCTTATGAGGCGTGAGTAACCTAAAAACACTTCTTATTTTAAATGAAGGGTTATTATGCTATTTTTTATTATTATTACTAATTTTACGATACGTGAATTTCATGTGAGTATCGTATAAGTAATATACGATGCAGTAAAATTAATCGTTGTTTGATTTATTTATTTTTTAAAAAGTCACATACATTTATTTTGTAAATTGACTACTGATTTGGAATAATCATAAGATTACTAATTAGTGTCACGTTGTTAGTTATTACTATTTTCTTGATTTCAAAATAAATAGTGTTTTACTTCTTCTTTATTTGTTTTAAAATAAAATTTTGTTTAACATACTCAACAACATGTTTGTAATGTTCTTGCAATTTTATCAATTTTTGAATTTTAAGAAAAATATTGAAAGGCA